TCGGATAAAGTTGTTTACAACTGCTTAAATGTTGGTGTGGTTTTTTATGAGAAGTTGGGTCCGGATGGACAAATCAACAATACTTAACAACTATTTTCTTGAATGATTGTTGGATCTATCGCTATAATAAAGGGAGAGGGAGGAATTTGACGCATACAACTTATAATATTGCTTAATTAATTACTGATAACTCTCTATGACATACCTCTTCGTAACTCTTCTAATCTCACTCTCTTACAATTGTACATATAAAGTAATCGTGTACAAAACACATTAGCAATTATAAAAAAAAAAAAAAAAATTCCCATTCGTATGTAATTGCAATTAGTACTCTTACTTTCGGCGAAAACTGCAATTAGTCCATAGCATATCCTTTGATCCTTAATAGTTATGATGTTATTTTTCAATCAATTTAGCATTACCCCTTCCTTCGTCAAGCACAGCACTTATAAACTATCACAGATTCTGCTGTTACACCCCAAAGCTTGGAGCATTGCTAGAATTGCTTCTTCCTCATTAACCAAGACTTAGGGATGTAAATGGCTCATGATATATCGTGTCTTCCATTTAAATTATTTAAATTGTATTGTAACAAAGTCTCTTCAATTCAACTTCGATCCGTTTATAATTGTGTGTAAACAGATTTATGTCAAAACGTCCTATATTGTATAGATTGTATTTGGTTAGGTTGAAATCAATTTATTTTCTTACATGTCTAACAAGTTCACCCACTAACTAGGCCTAGCCAAGGCCATCGGAATTATTTTCTACTATAATGTTCATGAAACATCAAACTCAAAATCAATCTGGTGGAACACCCAATAAAAAATGGATTTTTTTTAAGGCTGGTATACCATAAGACACTTATTTATAAAAAAACTCCTCGAAAAAAATATTTTGAAAAGAAGTCCATCTAATAGTGAAAAAGAGTGGTATAACCTTGTATACACTCTTTGATGATGACGATGATATGGCACTAATGAAAGCATTTTATGAGCATCAAGGGGATGATCTCCTTTCAAAATTTAAACTTCAAAGAGAGCATTCACCCACCCCTCCCCAGCCCAAAAAAAGATAGATATTTAGGCAAATATTCAAAATTCAAAAAATCCTCTCCACCAATTACATCATATCAAAAAAGAGGGTATTGTAGAAACCTGTTTATATTCTAAAACGATAAAGATACGGTTTCAAAAACACAGTGTAACAACATATTAGACACTATTCTATGTTATGCTGTGACAAATAATGTGCATGTAAATTGTCTGACTGTTACACAAATTAAATGTTATGCTTGACACAGTGTAACATCCCAATGTGATATAAAAATAATGAGTTGGTTGTGCCAAACACTGCTTGTCACTCTATAACAAATACTATGTCACAGTGTAACAAATCCGTTGAGACGTCTATGCAATAATACTCATAACAATATGTGAATAAGATTTCCTAAATGGAACGACAAAAATCACAGTGATAATAGATGATTGATATTGCTGACTGATGAAATAATCGGTAATGACTTAGATAGAAAACTAGACGTTGAATATGAAGAAGAAGATATACGTTCAAAGTTTAAATGTCATCGTCAATTAAAATAGGAATCTGTTGATATAATAAAATCAAATCTCACAAATAAGAGAACTGCATAAAAACATTGTCATTGAATGATGGAAAAGGGTATTTAAGTAAAGGAAATATTTAAAACAAAGTCAATGTGTATCTAGATGAAAGATATTTACAATTAGGATTACTTACCTACAATAGAGTTTTTGCAGTATTTTGCCACAAATAAGTAGTTTATATAGTACTTATCCACAATTTTTTGATAAAAAATTATCCCAACACTTGCTTGTTAGGCACATAAGTCGGTTTTTTCAGATTGTTTTTTGACAACTTCACAAGTGGCATAAATTAATTGAGAACATACACTATTTTATGTTGCATATGGCAATAAACAACTGTATTGACTTCTATGTTTTATATTTCATCTTTTTTGAATCTCTAGTTGTAAATTTAAACATCTTAAGTTCAAATTTTAATAACCTTTCGAGAGCAGACCATTAGAAATTTAAAACTCATAAATACCATTGTCTCGGCATGAATGATTTACTTTTGACAAAATTGAGGAGAGAATTAATGTATACAGATACAAACATTCCTGATTGTTAAACCTCAAAAAAAAAAAAAAAGCTGAATTAGAATTTCCAATTTGAACATGCACTACACGGTACTATCATATGGTGCTTGGTGAGCACTAAATATTTTCCCGTTTGTACATCACTTGCTTATGTTGTTTTCACTTCAAAATGGCATTCTTTTAATAAAATTGTTCTTCTAAGATTTACAAAAAAAAAAAAAGTATTATAAATTTTTATCTATGGCAAAAGCATTGTAAAATCCGATTGATGCTTGATTTGATATCTATGAGATCATCGTTGTTAGGAAATGAAAAAGAACTTGAAATCTTACCCCGGCCAGCCTGAGTTGCGACGTCCTTTTTTTTCTTCTCTCTTGGCTTAGTGGCTTGCCATTTTCCACCATAAAATCTCAACTGCACTTCTACTTCTGCTATCTGTATTCAATTTGAAGACCTCGACCTTCCTACTCGTGTGAATTTAAGGAGAAAAAAATATTAAATGGAGAATGGCCCTATTCGATCACCTCCTTGAAAGAGACTCTAAGGTCAAAAAAATTATTAAGAAATGTCCACAAGAACCTTTAAGATCCCAAAAAAATAGTCTATATGTGGAGAACGAGTGGCCAAAATTTTGATGTTTTATTTGAACGGGGTCATTTTCATTCAGATTTTATTTTATTTCTTAACTTAATTAGTAAATTATTTTATTGTTATTTTTAGTTTACTTACGATGTTACTTTATTTGGTTTCCTAATTTATTTAGGATTCTAATTTCTTAGTTGCTTTAGGGTTTTTACTACCATTTAAAGACTTGTAAGCCTTAGGGCAAAATAGTATTTTGATGGATTAATAATATTGAGAGTTTTCTGTTTTCTTCTCAATTATTCTGATATTCATAGGAATCAAAAAATTTTTTAAAGCTTTTAAAATTGGTATTCTCCATGAATCAACAGGCCAATAGTAGGAATTTGAAATCTTGGTGGTCTTTTTTTTCCCCTTTCGTTAATATCATACTTTTGTTTTTACCCGCTTCCTTGCATCAGTTGATAAAAGCGCTTGCGATCTTTCCTACACCATGTCACTTGGGAAAAATCTTGGTGGTCGGAACACATCTGTTAACAACATGACTATACATGGTGAGGTAACTCGATTAGAATAACGGTTAGTGCGTTGACCATTCAGGTCCACAAATTCATGGATGTTTATCAATGTGCCAACCATATCCCGTCTCATTTTGTGAGCAATAAGTTACCTAGTGTCAAACAGGTTTCCCCAATCGTTTCCTTATTTGGGGAAAAATCGATCATGCTTAGTTTCTTATAGAGTATCAGAAATCAACGATACACGTGGATGGAAGACCGAGAAGAGGTCATTACAACAATAAAGTTGTTGCAGCATTGATCCTAGAAGAGATTCAAATTTTTGATAAGTAACCGAATAAGGTATTTTTTTGATGCCTATTCATCTTCTCCACAATCAGAAATTGATTGGGATTTACCCCCAATTTTAGATAACTATCCAGAGGATGACTTATGTTGTACTTTATTATATAGATACGAAGTATATCTTTCACAAATTATGGAAGGACTAATTCGCTCATTCACTGTCCCAAAAGTTTATTTTATTTTTTTTATTTTCTTGTTAGAGAGAAACGGTAAGCAATACATCCCATGAGTTTGATTCTAGGAAATGTTATAGTTTGTGGACATGTTTGTCACTGATTATTGGAGTCAAAGCTGTGCAATTAAATATTATGGCATCTTTTATCATAATTGGTTCCCTAATTTACAACGTGGCATATGTATCCTTCTTCGATCAACAAAATATTTGAAAAATAATGTTATTAAGACTTAATTTAAAATTTTAATGTATTATCATTATTAAAATAATAGTTAATTCCAACATTAAATGCATTGGAACAGTGACAATACATTAGTCTTCGAATTAAGTATAAAATATTATCATTGATATTAGAAGCTGATAAGAGCATTTGAAGTGGCCAAAAGCGGGAGAATTGGGTTAATGTCTCGCTCTATGTTTTCTTCAACCAATGCTTGCTACCAAGTTTTCGACACCAATTTTTTTTTTAAAAAAAAGAAGGGTTAATTATAAAAGGTCCCTTTTAATTTTGGATAGTTTGCAACTCACTCTTCCAAGTTTTAATTTCAACAAATAGCCCCCTTTAAGTTTAAATATTTTGTAATCAACTCTAATAATTATTTTTAGATTATAAAAATTGAAAATAGTTAGACATTTCAAATTACACATGTAAATATTCACCCAAAAGAATATCAATAATTATATTTGGATCTAATTTGCTCATATATTTATTGACATAATTTGTTGTAACTATTAAATTAACATAAAATTTTAATTTTTGATGAGCCGTATGGTCAATCTAAAGATTATAATGAATTATGTCGATCAATAAATTAAATTTAAATAACATGACTCAATAGATAAAGGGAATCACACAACTTTTCATTAGGTGGCTATTATATCAAATGCATAGTAGTTATTAAATTATGTAGGATACATTTCCTAACTTGTGATTTTTTTTTTTAATTTGACCGTGATGTCACATAACAGTCATAACATAACACATTATAATAGTAATGCACACAATTCAAATAAAACTCAAAAAATTGTAATTCAAATATATATCATTTTTTGGATGAATGAGTCTCATCGAGTTTTTTAGTGGAATTCACTCATCTAACATTTATGATATATTTTTAAGTTACAATATTTGGATTCTATTTATGTTGTGTAGCATTTTTATATTATAATATTTGCTTCATATTTTAGGACGTGTTGAACGTGAAATTCAGTGGGGCAGGTCATATCTTTCATGGCATACTTGAGTTGGTCTTGCACTTCTCTCACCAGCTTCACTCCTTCCTGCAACAGTGCTGCTCCTCTGGCAGCTTTTTGGGTAATGTTCTTGAACTCAAGATTTGAATCATCATGACCTTCGAGAAGCTTGAATAGATATGCGGAATCAGATATCTCAAGACCAATCTCAAACGTGGGATCCATTCTTGTCAGTTGGCTCAGGCGATTGCAAAGAATAGACCTCAAATCCCGGAGAGGTCCACTTGTTGTGTGACGTTTCAACAATCTGCTACTCCGACCAATGACCAAGTCCCTAAAATCGTGATCGGTTATATCATCTGTAGAAAAATTAAGACGAAAAAGTTAACACAAGTCAAAAAGTGTAAACTGACGGAGAAACTAAAACCAAACTATGTTTATGGCCGAAAAAGGTTTGTCTAAAATCAAACTAAATAGATGAACTTAAATATCTATTCAAATATTTTTAAAAAAATTCTTATTATTCCAAAGCTTAGTTTTTTAATTTTTTCTACCAAAATATTTTATAAAATATTAAAACCTGTTTCTTACAACTTTATTAATATTAACCAAAGCAAAGACAAGAATACTAACTTTTTTGAATGGTAGATTGGTGAGTTTTTTTTACGTAGAGAGAAAAAAAATGGTAAAAGAGAAAAAAAAAGAGAGAGAGTAAAAAGTTACTATCAAAAAATAGAGGTAGGGATAAATGGTGTGGTCGGCGACAATGACAACAACTTTAAAGAAAGAAATAAGAGAGACAAGAACTTTTTCCGTGTTCTTTTGGATTTATATAAGATAGGAGGTTGTGGTTGAAAATTTGATATATGATTTAAGTTTCTTTCAATTTGGGTGCAAAATAATTTTTTTTTTTTAATTTAATATTAGTGTGGATCTAAAGTTACAAAAAAAAAAAATTTATGTCATTTTAACTCAAATTGAAATTTAAGTCCAAATTTAAGTCAGGGTTCAAAATGATAAAAAAAAAAAAAAAAAAACTAACAGAACAGAGGCTAGCTAATATAGCTTCTGCGAGCCAAGACCTGGCGGCGAACTTGTGAAGGGGAAAAGAGAAGCAGATGGGGGGGCACTCGAATTGATCCAGCAGGGACTTCCCCATCACTTAATCTCTGCCTTTTGTTGTTGACGGCGTCGGAAAAATCATTGCGGAAACCATCTCTCCCTCTCTTGAGTGGATTGTTTGCGGAAAAATCTGCGGAAACCAGCAGGTTCAGATGGGATCGTTGAATATTCGGGGCCACTTGTTCTCTGCTTTTTGTT